TTTTTTTTAAGTTAAAATAGTGGTGTTTTTATCTGATAAGATAGGTTTGGGTGGTATAAATGTAAAAAAGTAATGGTTAAGTGTTATATGTATCTAATTAAATTCCCCAATGGAAGAACTAAGAGATATTTACACAGACCATCCAAAATATTAATATTTACAAATTAAGCATCCAAGTTATTATTTTAAACTACCAAACCGATGTATCTACACGTGCAACGATCAAAATAATGAGAAATTGATAAAATGAAAATTCAGGTTGGGCTTTTACCATGAATCTTGATATTTGAATTAGAATTTGAAAAATGGATGAAAGGGAGCAGTTGATTTGTAAATAGCAAATTTCGGGTGGTCTTTATGTAATTGCCTCAACAAATAAAACACATAATTACCAATAAAAAGTTAAGCATCATCATACCAATACAAGGAGACAATCTCACTAAAAGTAGGCGTTTATATGCTTCTCATACCCCTAGGTTACTAAATTTGGCTAGAAAACAAAATATAGCCATATTACACATATTTCACATGTTAATTTTATTCCAAAGCTTGTGGTTCCAAGAACTTTGTTATTTTTCTACCCTTAAATGGTCGAGCCAGACCACATGATTGTTCTACATGTTTGATTTATTAATCGTACAAAATTTAGTGTAAATTTCTTTTCTCTGGCACGAATTCCCCCTTTTTTTTATAACTTTGCTATATCAAATCTTCTCTTATTTTGGGAAAAAAACTGCGTACGTCAAGGGGTACGCAGAGATGTGTACATAATAGGGTACACGGGCGTTATATGAGAGTTACATGGGAGTTACAAGCGTGTTATAACTTCCTTGTAACTTTCGTGTAACTCAGTTGTAACCTGCGTTTTTATTTTATCCATTGAGATTACAAGGTTACAGCGGGGTTACACGGGAGTTACACGGGAGTTTACACGGGAGGTACAACGAGTTATAACTCCCTTGTAATCCCCGTATAAACCCCGTGTACCCTATTATGTACACATCTCTACGTACCCCTTGACGTACGCAATTTTTTTCCCTTATTTTGTCTCGTAGTCCGCTCCACCCAAACACATCTTGCCACTTCAAACAAACAAATGTTTCAAAAAGCATACACTTGTCTATAAAGGCTACGCTTGAAATGCAAGTTTTTTGTGTCTCAATCCCGTTACAGAGGCAGAATTTTGGCTTGCCCCACCATCTTCTCTCTCTCTCTCTCTCTCTCTAAAGCTTAGAAAGATACAGCTAGGCCACCATAAATCTACACACAACTCCTCATTGTCTCTCTGCAAACTCTCTTCAACTAGCTGGATCATCTTCCTTTAACATGAAGACTGGCACAAACTTTTTCGAAACCTTATTAAATGCAATTAATGCGATTTCAGGTTTCTTCGCTTATTTATTACCGAATCATTTGTTCTGTTCCAGATATCTACGAATTTTTATTTTCACGTCTACTTTTACATTTAAATTCATGTTTGCATTGTTTTCCCACGTTCTAGACTTAAATCAAGACATATTGATACAAATATATGCAATTACTTTCATGCATGAACAGGATATGGCTATCTTGCCATGCCATTTGCCCTCGCTCAGGGTGGATGGTTGAGTTTAGCCGCTCTCTTAACCATAGCAGCCATTTGCGCGTACACAGCTTTGCTCCTCAAACGGTGCATGGAATCCAACAGCTTAGTCAAAACATACCCTGATGTCGGAGAACTAGCGTTTGGCTCCAAGGGAAGAATACTGATGACCCTACTCATGAATATTGAACTCTACTTCACTGTCATTGGGATGCTAATCATAGAAGGAGATAACATCGGAAGAATATTTCCATTTCATATTGCAGGGCTAAATATCAAAGCGAAGCAAGCCTTTGTCGCGCTCGTCGCCCTCATTCTCTTGCCCACAACATGGCCAAAAAACTTGCGGATTCTTTCTTATTTGTCTTTGGGCAGCATTTTGGTTTCTTTCTTTGTATTATCTTCTGTCTTTTGGGTGGGAGCTGTGGATGGAGTTGGATTCAATGAAAAAGGAGAGATTTTTAACTTTAGTGGGATGCCGACTACTTTAAGTCTTTTTGTGTTCTCCTATGGCGGCCACACTATAATGCCTACCATCTTCTCCTCCATGGAAAACCCAGCAAATGTCACCATAGTAAGTATATCATCATATTTTGATTTGAGAACATTTTCTTTTTTTTTTCTGAAAGCTTCTCAATATTGCAGATATTTGCCATTGCCTTTACATTATGCACCATTCATTATGTACTAATGGGGATCATCGGCTACTTGATGTTTGGTGAGGAAACAAATTCAATAATAACACTTAATCTACCAACAAATTTAGTGGCATCCAAGATTGCAACATGGACCGTTATAGCAGTTCCGGTAGTCAAATATGCATTAGCCATAATGCCGGTCATTAATTCATTGGAGGAGTTATTTAAAATTGAAGGAAGAGTAAATAGCATCTTGCTGAGAACATCCGTTGTCATCAGCACTGCTGTAATTGCAATTGCAGCGCCATTTTTTGTATACGTGATATCATTAACAGGGTCGTTAATAACAGGGGCAGCCACAATATTTCTGCCATGTTTTTGTTACCTGAAAATATTCAGTTCTGCGAAGCAAAGGGGAGCAGAAACTATGGTGATATTTTGTATTATTGTAGTTGGAGTAATAGTTTCATTATCAGGAACTTATGTTTCTATAAAGAATATTGTAAAAGATATTGATTAAGAAGCTTTGTTTGGAAAAAAGAAAGGAACAGAAGTCGGACCAAGTCTGGTCTAATTTTAGAGCCATTTGTTGGACCTGTGTGGCCACAGTTGATTATTTCTTGAGTGAATTCTTTTTTTTAATTGTGCTGTGTGATTGACCTGGGTTTGAATTTTGTTTTTTTCTGCCATTAAATTATGTAAGGACATTATGGCTATAAAAATGTATTCTATGTATATGTCTTGACTCTCACCCACATATATAATATAATGAAAATTTCTTAAAATTTACAAGGGTTTATGAGGAGCTGGAAACACCATGTGATTGTTTTCTTTAGTAGTAGGTTTTCCAGGATTGAGATTTTGGCTGCAGTTTCAATGGTCGTAAATTTCTTTTATTTTCTTAATGCAGATAATAATAATTAATAGTCATACTAATCTTAATCTGTATATACATTAAACTTTCTTTACAGACATTAATTTAAAATTTTAGAGTTGTTTTTATTAGTGCCATTTAATTTCACAAAACAACATGTTAAGAAAGCCCAATTGAAGGATTCCTCATGGGAAAAAGCAGACTGCATTTTATATCTTTTTGTTCTTTTTATTATCTTCTTGTGTGGAGAATGCTTATTTTATATTTGTTTCATCATTCATCATTGTTTCTTATCCAGAATATAATGCGTAAACATTCAACATGTATATAAAAATTGAGTGATGATCTGATTAGAGGGCATATGGAAAACCTTTTTTTTCTAGAATATATAATTTGGCTTGTACATCTCTCCAAACAAAATAATTGAATGCATGTGTTGAGAAAATTAGGGCGAATAAAAATAGTAACGACACAAATCCAGAAGAACACAGAGATTTAACGAGGTTCGGAAAAGATGCCTACGTTCTCGGGAGCAGAGTGGTGTATTCCTTTCAATATTCAGAAAAGAGGTTACAGAATAGAGCAATACCTCTTGGGGTTATTAACAGACTTATTTATAACCCCAGGAGTAAACTCTAAGTACAATACGTAATTACAACATTACCCCTATACCGTACCGTGGGGTTTTGCCCCCGCACGCCCAACCCACCCAACTTTCTGATTTGGATAAATTCTTCCGCTCCGCTCCGCTTTGATCCAGCGTCTGCCACGTAACTTCCCGAATTGGATAAATTCTTCCGCTCCGCTCGACTTTGATCCAGCGTCTGTCCCTATATAGTATATGAGTCATACCATAACAAATCTCCATCTTGGTGAATATCCAGCCCCTTAGGAGAAAAGATACCTGGGAGTTACACCTGCACCACTGTAGGTTGGGTCACCATACTTCTCTAGCAACTGCAAACATTCAACAAGTACAAGCAATGCAAGAACTTGTTGATAGTAACTGGCTTGGTCAACATATCAGCTGCATTCTCATCAGTATGAACCTTCTGCAACAGTATCTCACCAGAAGCAATCAACTCTTTGATCTTGTGATACCTGACATCAATGTGCTTGGTTCTCGCATGGTACACTTGGTTCTTAGCCAGATAAATAGTACTCTGACTGTCACAATGCAACTGAACTCCACCTTGCTCAATGCCTAGTTCCTTTACTAGCCCAGTAAGTCATAAAACTTCTTTTAAGTCATAAAACTTCTTCAGCAGCTTCAGCTACTGCCATGTACTCAGCTTCAGTTCAGCTTCAGTTCTAGATGATGTCACAATAGACTGGATTGTTAATTTTCAACATATAGGCCCTCCACTAAGAGTAAACACATACCTAGTTTTAGACCTGTACCTAGTTGTAGACCTTATGTCATCCAAATCACGTGCATAGTCTGATCAGCATACCCCACAACTAAAGGATCATTCTGCTGAAAAAAAATTCCATATCATACAGTGCCCTTCAGATACCTGAAAATCCACTTGACTGCTTCCTAATGTCGCCTTTCATATTTAGTCATGTATTTGCAGACTTGACTAACAACATGAGCCAAATCAGGAAAAGTACATGTCATTGCATACATCAAGCAACCAACTACACTGACATATGGAACATTTTCCATGTCTTCCATTTATGTATCTGTCTTAGGACACTATTTTGAAGAAAGCTTAAAATGATTTGTCAAGGGAGTGCTTACAGACTTTGCTTTACTCATCTCAAACATTTCCAGCACTTTCTCAACATAGCCTCATTGAGATAAACATAATTGACTTGAGCCTTTATCTTGATGAATCTCCATTCCAAGATTCTTCTTCGTAGGACCCAAATATTTCATGTCAAATTTCTGGCTCAATAAAGCTTTCAAACCACAAACATCATTCATATTCTTTGCAGCAATCAGTATATCATCAACATACAGTAACTGACATCATCAAGGCTCTTCACATAAACACAATAATCATACTCACATCACCTGTAGCCAATCTGAATCATGTAGGAGTCGAACCACTTGTACCACTGTCTTGGAGACTGTTTCAACCCATACAACAATTTCTTTGATCTGCAAACTAGATGCTATTGTCCAGGTTGAGTGAAACCTTCTAGTTGCTTCATGTAAATCTGCTCCTCCAGATCACCATGCAAGAAAGCAGTTTTAACATCCATCTGCTCCAAATGCAAATCCCAAATTGCTACTAATGCAAGCACTG